AGGGAGAGCACCCCTCGAAGATGGGGGTGCGAGGAGCGCCACGAGCAGCACCTACAGCAACAATGCTCTTCTCTGCTGCAAGGAGGTGCTCCTCTAGGAGGTCGCTAGTGAGGTCGGTGGGACAGCGAGCGAGAAAGTGGTCTCGGACCGAGCTCAGAGTGTCAGGAAGGCGAGTTACTATGAAGTGGAGGGTCCAGTACATCGGAGGCGGGTTCTTAGCACAGAACTCTTTGGGGAGGGCGGCGCGAAGGCGAGTGTCGCTAGTGCAAAGGTGGGTAATGAGATCGGCAACTGTGGCAAAGGTGGACAGCTCAGGAAAGAGGTAGGGCAGCATGAGGCGGCTAAGCTCAGATGTGGCAGGGGAGGAGTATCGAGCAACTACAGCGTCGTACAGGGCCTTAGCGGTTTTGTGTTCGCCAAAATGCGTGAGCTCGGCTAACGGCAGGTGATTCCGAACGGCTAGGCGAGCAGCAGCGTCACGAGTCTGCCACTGGGAACGGGCGCTAAGCTCAGCTGTTGCAGCAGGAGCGACTGAGGCACCAGATGTGTGGTCATAGAGAGAGAGACATTGTCCTTGCTATCGCTCATTAGGAACAGCAACAGGTCGTCGAGCCAGGTCTCAAACTGAATCGTGCGGCCCTCAGCATCGAACGATAGAGCGCGGAGGGTGGCCATAGCTACTGGCGCGGGTCTAGCAGGGCAGAGCGATTGCAGGCAAGCAGCAGCAGTAAGGGAGGCGCGAGAGGTGGCGCGCGGGGCGTAGCAGGCAGCCGCGGCAGGGGCAGGCGGCGCACGGGGCTACAAGCAGCCGGCAGGGCAGCAGGGCGGGCGGCACACGGGGCTGCGGGGCAGCGCAACGGGCGGCGCGCGGGGCGTAGCAGGTAGCCGCGGCAGGAGCAGGTGGCGCACGGGGCTACAGGCGGCCGACGAGGCAGCGCGGGGGGGGCGCAGATGGGGCAGCGCGCTAGGGCACGCGGGCTGCTAGCGGGCGGTGCGCGGGCCGGCAGGAGCTGCGCGCGGGCTGCGCGGGCAGCGGGCGGTTCGCGCGGGCTGCTAGCGGGCGGCGCGCGGGCCGGCAGGAGCTGCACGCGGGCGCAGCGTGGGCAGCGCGCGGGCGACGCGCAGGCAGAGCAGGGCGCGCGACGGGCGCGCGGCGCGCGGGTAGGGCAGCGCGCGCGGGAAGGGCAGCGCGCGCGGTTAGGGCAGCGGCTAGGCGCAACTCGTGGGGTAGCGCAGTACGGTGGGCCCTAAGAAAATGGTCCTAGGCTAGGACCTGCTCTGAAACCATGTTAAATCTAGAAGCAATGAATGAGTGAACTATGAGAAAGTTGGGTACAAATGGAAACCCTAAAGGGGTTGTACCCCATATTGGCTACCCCACTCCAGCCTACATATTATAACATAACATATATAGTTTGACAGCATTACCATTAACAATACCATTACCATTACAACTACCATTACCATTACAACTACCATTACCATTACCACTACCATTCTCATTTCTATTACCGTTACCATTACCATTACCATTACCATTGCCATAATTATTACCATTATCATTAACATTACCACTACCACTACCACTACCATTACCATTATCTGTATTAGCAAGAAAGCCGATAAATTTCTATAGACGTAGGAAAAAACATTCGACAACCTAAATATTTATTGTATCTTCGAGTGGCTCATGTTCAAATACACCTATTATAGTTTTTTCGGCTTGGTTCGAGCGGAAGGAAAAGTTCGGCGCCTTACATTTCGGCTGTTTTTGCCGACAAATGCTTAGAAAGCGCAGGAATCCCTATAGGCGTAGGCAAAAGCATTCAACAACCTGAATGCTATTATATCTTCGAGTTGCTCGGGTTCAAATACACCTATCATAGCCTTTTCGGCTTGGTTCTTGTGCAAAGAAAAGGTTCGGCGCCTTTGATTTCGACTTTTTTTGCTAACAAATGCTTAGAAAACGTATGAATCCATGTTGGCGTAGGGAAACGCATACAACATAAAAGTTACTGCATATTCGAGTGGCTCATGTTCAAGTACACCTATTAAAGCCTCTTCGGCTTGGTTGGTGCACAAAAAAAAGGTTCGGCGCCTATGATTTCGGATGTTATCGCCGGCACATGCTTAAGAAGCGCATGAACTCCTATAGGCGTGGGAAAAGCATTCAACAACATGAATGTTATTACATCTTCGAGTGGCTCATGTTCGAATACGCATATTAAAACCATTTCGGCTTGGTTTTTGTGCAAAGAAAAGTTCGTCACCTTTGATTCGGTTGTTTTTGTCGACAAATGCTTAGAAAGCGCATGAATGGTTATATATGTAGGGAAAAGAATTAAACAACCTGACTGTTATTGCATATCCGAGTGGCTTATAGCCTTTTCGGCTTGGTTCGTGCGCAAAGAGAAGTTCGGCGCCTATAATATCGGCTGCTTTTGCCGACAAAGCGCATGAATCCCTTTAGGCGTAGAGAAAAGCATTCAACAACCTGAATGATTATTGCATCTTCGAGTGACTCATGTTCAAATACACCAATTAGAGCCTTTTCAGCTGGGTTCTTGCGCAAAGAAAAATCCGGCGTCTATGATTTCGGCTGTTTCTTCCGACAAATGCTTAGAAAGCGTATGAATCCTTATAGGCGCTCGGAAAAGCATTCAACAATATGTACAAAGTTTAAGTTTCACTTTAAATTTTTGAGGGCCGTGATTCGACTAGAAGAGGAGTTTGCAGTAAAGGAGACAACCTCCTTTACATTCTCGCAGGTCTCTTAGGCCTGCCACCTAGTCTCATTAGCATTTTTCAGATCTTCATTTGCTTCCTTCTCACCCTCTCCTCATATTCATACTTGCGTTTACATTCGTTTATCATGTTTGGATAGTATTTGTAATTGTCCAATTGAGTGTGCTGTACAAAACGAGATTTGTAATGCTATGACGACTGCACTGCACACTTCTCGTAAAGTTGTGTCACACTCTGAATGGTTTTGCCAATAAACCTACCTGCCAATCAACCTACCTGCCAATATGTCAGAATATATTTTACATATATTTCTGTATAATTGCATGTAGTTCTAGCTGTAGTGTAGTTATATGGTTTCCTGCTTGTGGTGCACCTTTTCCTGCTTGTTTCTTGTATAACTTGGGCCTTTGGCCCTTTAATGAAGCCCTCTTTTGCTTGGTCAATTCTCTCGACACTCTCTTGCCTAGCCCAAACCCTTGGCTCCTTGTTTTGAGTTATGAAGCTATTTTAACATGCTATCGGAGCACTTAAGATCATGGCCTGTTACTTTTTAATTACCCAATGGGCCCACCGCATAATCCTCGTTTCGTGGTGCCCGTCGCGCCCTTAGTTGCGACTCGTGTGACGGTCGCGACGGCGAGCTGTCTGCTGATGCCTGTAACCTGCCCGTCTCCTGCCCGTCGTACTGCATCGACCCTGCTCTCATGGCGACGAGCTGGGCGGCTTGCGCTGCCCCGTTGCTCCGTCGCCCCGTCACCCCCCCCCCCCCCCCCCCCCCCCTCTACCCGCCCCATCCCGCGCTGCCCCGCTCCCCGTCCCGTTACGAGCAGCCGGAGCCACGCGCAGCCGTGCGCAGCTGCGTACGGCCGCGTGCAGCTGTGCATAGCCGTGCGCAGCCGTGTACGGCCGCACGCAGCAGTGCTGCTCCTCTGCCCTGCACCTCCTTCTCGTACGGCAGTGATAAAGGGGGGGGGGGGGAGGGTGTGTGGGTAGTGTGTGGGTGACGCAGCTCCTGCTGCCGCCGTCGGCGAGTGTGACCAGCCAGGAGCCGTCCCTCCCCTCTCTCTCACTGCTGCTCGTGCGCCAGTGGGGGGGGAGGGGAAGGGTGAGAGGGTGGCAAGAGAGATTCTGCCAAGCCAGCAGCCGCCCCTCCTCTCTCTCTCACTGACGCGCGTGTCGCTGTGGGGGGGAAGGTAAGAGAGGGCGGCGGAAGTCAGCCAGGCATCTGCAGCTGCCGCCCGCTGCTACCGTGGCACCTCCTGCTGTCGCCCCTGCCGCCACCTCCTCTTGCTGCTGCTGCCTGCTGCTGTTGAGTGGCAGGTGCTGCCGTTGAGCCCTGCTGTGCCGCCGCACGTTGCCGCCGCACGCACCTGCTCTCCAGGCGACCTGCCGCCACATGCACCCACTACTGTTGTTTCTGACTTTGCTGAGGGTTTGCTACAGCTGTATCTGCCACCACTGCACTGGTTGCCACTGCTCTTGCCTGTTGCCGCTTCTTCTGCTGCTTTATTTTGCTTGGTGTACCCCTGCAGGTGGTGTTCTGCACATGGCTATCCCTGCATGCCGTTAGGGGGTATGTCAGAATATATTTTATATTTATTTCTGTATAACTGCATGTAGTTCTAGCTGTAGTGTAGTTATATGGTTTCCTGCTTGCGGTGCACCTTTTCCTGCTTGTTTCTTGTATAACTTGGGCCTTTGGCCCTTTAGTGAATCCATCTTTCGCTTGGTCAATTCTCTCGCACTCTCTTGCCTAGCCCAAACCCTAGGCTCCTTTTTCTAAGTTATGAAGCTATTTTAACAAAATAGACGTGCCAGCCACTAGACCTGCCAGCCAAATAGACCTACTAGCCAATAGACCTACCAGCCAATAGAGTTACGGTACCAGCGAATATACTTACCTGCCAATAGACCTACCTGCCAATAGACTTGCCATCCAATAGACCTACTTGCCAATAGACCTACTTGCCAATAAGCACAGCAATCACACATGCATAATCCCCGCAGTTGTTGAGGTGGAGGTCCAGTTTCCCAACGATTGTGATGCACTTCAACTATAAGCTGCATGGTACCGTAGCATGTTTCCGGAAGTTACAATACCGTAGTACATCAGTACCAACTCTGCTATTATCATTCCAAGGATTGCTTTGCCTAGCTGTCTTTTGCCATCTTGCAGTGTTCCATCCACAGTGCTAGAAAACGTTTGTACGGTAGGTACTAGGTACGCGCTTGGAATTTCCTCTGTATTTATCGCATCAAGCACCATCCCTGACAGCCTTGACCCACGCAACCTCCAGTCTAAACGGGCCCTCGCCATGCACTGGAAACGCGTCAGACTCCACGTCAGCACCATCAGGACAAAAATCACCGCCCGCCGCAGCAGTATCACCACCAGGAGTGGCTGGAGCAATGTGAGGAGGATGTGTGAGCGGGGCAGTGGCACTGAGATGCGGAGAGTGCATGGGAGGGGTGCTGACGTTGACTGATATCCCCATGCCCACCACTCTCCGCGCATTCATCTCCATCCCTCCACCACCACTGCCCCCTCCCCCCTCTCTTCCTCCCCCACCGCCGCCCACCACCCTGCCTTTCCATGTAAGGCGGTAGCTGGCCAGGGGAATCTGTGGGAAGGGAGGGAGAGGGGAGAGGCAAGGATGGAAAGAGGGGGAAGAAGAGAAATATTTTATGCATTACCCTACCACCCTGCCCTTCCATGTAAGGTGGTAACTGGCAAGGGAAATCTGTGAGTGGGAGGAGAAGGGAAGAGGGGGATGGATAGAAATACCTGACGCCCTACTCCATCACCCCGCCTTTCCAGGTCTGGAAGAGAGGGGAGGAGGGGGAGGGAAGGGAGGAGGGGGGAGGGGGAAACGAAACATCTTGAATCAGGGGAGGAAAGCGGGAGAGAGAGAAGAGGTTGATTGAGCAGCCCCCTTGACGCTTCTCCTCGCCACCCTGACCTTCCACGTCAGGTGTTCTCCTCACTGCCTGCCCTCTGAGATGCGTGTAAGAAACTACAGCCCTCTGCGCGGGGAGCGATGGGATCCTGACTATCACCTACACCACTCTTCACCCCTTCTCCTCTCACCTGCACCACTCCCCACCGCCCTCGAGGCGAGGGCAGGAACGCCTGCCATGTGTTCTCCTCACTGCCCGCTGGCTGAGATGTGTGGAGTGGAGTGGGGAGACGAGACTACAGCTTCTCATTTGCACCACTCTTCACCCCTTCTCCTCTCACCTGCACCACTCCCCACCGCCCTCGTGGCGAGGGCAGGAACGCCTGCCATGTGTTCTCCTCACTGCCCGCTGGCCCGCCCACCCACCCTTCAGTGCGCAGCTGATAGGGAGAGGGGAGAAGTAGGGCAGGAGAAGGGAGGAGACGTGAGGAGCAGGGAGGACAGGGCAGAGAGGGGGAGAGAGGGGCGGGGAGAGAGAGCTATAAGGTTGCACATCCCCACCCTGCCATGTGTTATCCTCGCTGCCTGCTGGCCCCCCCACTCACCTCTCAGTGCGCAGCTGAGAGGGAGGGACAAGAGAAAAAGAGGGGAGAGAAGGGAAAGAGGTAAGGACGTGTAAGCCTGACAGAGTGGGGAGAAGGGGGGAGGAGGGTAGATGAAAGGGGAGGGGGACAGAAAGCAAGAGAGACGAGAAAGAGAAGGTGACGTCTGCGAACATGGAAGGACTTTTGAGGGGAAGGTATTTGTGAAGGTTCTCATCACACTCATGGAAGGACTTTTGAGGTGTTTTGAGGCGTTTGACCTCAAAAGGTATCTGTGAACGTTCTCTTCAAACAAACAGAAAAGGAAAGGGCTGGCGAGACGAGACAAGGACGTGAGAGCAACCCGGAAAGTGCAAAGGAATGAGTAATAGGTCTCAAAAGCAAGATGAGAGCAGGGCAGAGAGATGCAGAGTGGTGCAGTGCAGCATGAGAATGCGGAGAGCGGTAGGGGATACTGGGGATAGGTAGGTGCGACTGGGCTAGAAGGGGGACGAGGAGGGGGAGAGGGAGAAGGAGGGGGAGGGGGAGGGGGATGGGAAGGGGAGGGGCCACGGGGAGCGGAAATGGGAGGGGGAGGGGGAGGGGGAGGGGAAGGTGGGAAAGGGAGGGCGTACGGTGGAGAGGTAGGTGCGGCCGTCACCACGTACGAGCAGGTGTAGTGAGGCGAATGGCTCCAGGTCGTGGCGGCACGCTGCATGCGCCTGGGAGGGGCGGAGTGGGTGGGTGGAAGTGGGCACACCCAAGTCGGATAGGCGGTGGAGAGAAGAACGGGGTTGAGACGGTGCAGCAGTAGTGAGGCGAATGGCTCCAGGTCGTGGCGGGCGGCATGCTGCATGCGCCTGGGAGAGAGGGTGAGGAGGTGGAAGGAAGTGGGAGAGGGGGGGTTAGGTGGAGGAGAGAAGCAAGAGAGTGAGATGATGGCACGAGCAGAGGCAGCGGCAGCAGCAGCGAGGAGATGCTCCAGGCTGCTCGAGGATGAGAAGCCCTGGAACCACCCGAGCGGAGATGTGTTTTGAGACGTCTCAAAACACTGCTTCAAACACGGGGCATTGATGCCGTACTGGGTGGTGGGAGCAGGTGACACAGCAGTGGGCGGAGGCAGTGGTGGGCGGAGGCAGTGGTGGGAAACGCAAGCGAGTGGGTGGGTGGGTTGCAGGTGAGCCTTTTTCTTCTTCTTTAATTCGGATTCCCCTCCAAAACGCGGCTCAATGGCTCGTCTGAACCGAATGGCCCACCACAGCCGCCCTCCCTGCCCTCCCCACAGGCCCACACCCCCCTCCCGTCTCTTCCCTTTACGCGCCTTCCACATGTGACACTCACCTCGATCGTTCGAATGCCAGCGAAGCCACCCTTGAGCAGCCGCCCTCCCCGCCCTTCCACGCCCTGGCCCTGCTCCTCCCCTGCACGCGTCGGGACAAGCTGCCTGCGAACACGGCTGTGAGGGCACGGGAGAGACTCACGGGGCACGTGGGGCGGTGAGCACAATTGAACCCCGAGAGCCTTGGAAACCCGAGAATCCGGTGGGTGAGGAAAGAGGGTTTTGTGTAAGCATGGCGGTATTGGTGGTACGAGGGAGAGGGCGGACACGGTGCATGCGGACACGGTGCATGCGGACACGGTGCATGCGGACACGGTGCATGCGGACACGGTGCATGCGGACGGAGACAGTTGGGCACGGCAGCGAGGTGCGAAGGGAGAGAGGGAGAAGAGAGGGAGAGGAGAGAGGGAAGAAGGCGGGAGACGGGGAAAGGAACTCACCAAACGAGGAGGGAGGTTCGAAGTGATGGTGCTGCTGCCGGCGCATAGCTCGTGCCTCCCAGCCATGCTGGGTGGGTGGGTGGGGTGGGTGTACCATCCCTGCGCTGCCATCCATTCTATCTCTGCCCGTCATGTCTCTGCGCCCCTGATCCCCGCCCATGCCTGAAAGCTCCGTGCCCGACCCTGCAGGCTCGGCGCTGCCGGACGTGGCATGGGCGAGGGTGGCGGTTGACGAACCTGAGGGGCGGCAGGTTTGGAAGTTGAGGGGCGGGAAAGAGAAAGACAGAGGGGCTTGGGGGTCTGGGGCTGGTAAGAAGGTGAGGGTGGGGAGGAAAGGTATACACATAGCAACACACCCAGAACCTCACAGCACCTCACAGAACCTCGCAGCACCCAGGCGCACACCGTCTCACCGCCATACATGGCGTCGGAATACACGCGCCACACGTCCATCGCGCCCTGCGTGCCGCCCTGCGCGCCCTCCTCTCCCCGCGCGCCCGCCCTCGCGAAGTGGAACAGCACGCGCTCGCTGGGCGGCTGCAGCTCCTCCAACCGCCATGCCACCGCTGCGCGCCGGCAGGGGACGGCAGGGGTGGAGAGGGGTGGAGAGCGATGAACTGGGACGCATGAATGGGGATATGTGGCAAGCTGGGCTCTCTGCGGGAATTGCTGCGGACAGCAGTGTGAATGCGAAGCGCGGAAAGCGGCGAGTCGTGAGACGCGCGTGGCGGCGTACCTCGTCGCGATGCCGCAGATGCGGCTTCTGCCAAGCGCTTCCACATCGGGGACTTTTAACAAAACAATAGTAGCGAGCTAGAATCAGGCACAACAACAGACTTAAACAAGCACAAATAGTAATGCGTCACCAGAAACGTCATGTCGAGATGGCCGAGTTGGTCTAAGGCGCTGGATTAAGGTTCCAGTCCGAAAGGGCGTGGATTCAAATCCCACTCTCGACATGTTGTTATCTCCTACTCTTGCCAGTTCTTGACCTGGTCAACATTGGATCTTGCTACCTCTCCCCCTTTTTCTCTCCAATTTCCTCTGTGCAGCTCTGAAGGTCACTGGATTGAGTTGAGGTTGGCATTGAAGGACCTTGGATGAATAAGGAGCTCTATAGTTTGGAACAAAGTGTTTGACAATAGCTAAAATCACTGCAAGTGGGTCTACCACAACCTACTCCTAGTTTAAGGATGCATTACTGCAGTTGCTGTTGGGTAGAAGTGGTGCATAAAGTACGCCACAAAAACCCCAACAAGAGCTCCTGCCACCACCTGCCAAAAATATATATCATTGTGCGAGAGATGACAGAGGTAGTAGAAAATACAATGGCTTGTACCAACGCAGCAACAAGAGGGTCAAACAGTATGGGCATTTGGTGAGCTGTAGTGGTGTGGGTACCTGGAGCTTTGTAGTGTGCTTCATACCAGCTGGTGCCTGCAATATGCAAACCACTAGCTTGCATTGCTATGCACTTCATACCTGATATCCGTTTCTCGTAGATATTCAATCACTTGATAGTTAAAGTGCGTACCTTTTTTGCAGTCATACCTGAGATGAAGTCTGCAAAATGCACACAAGCCTGTGGCTGAGTGTGGTAACAGCACTTATGGCTGTGGTAGAGTGTGGTAACCGAGTGCCTACCTGAGGTTGTGTGTGTCCAATGGGCTCCTTGAGAGGCCGGGACTCAGCCAAGGGATGGTCTGGTGGCAGCTCATATACGATCTGGTTTAGGACCTGTGAGGAGGGCAAAAAGCAGAATGGGTGATTGAGCATGGATGAGCAACTGCGTGGGTAAGATGGGGGGAGGGTGAGACAATGTTGAATGGGTACCATCAAGTGAAAGGGCAGACGTGATGTAGGATGACGATCATCTCATCGCAGACAACTGCAGTGCGTACGGAAGCAATGATCTTGCTGGATCAAACGAGCAGCGGCATGACCTTACAAGACCCAGTCAAAGCCACAGCATTTCCATACTTCACAATTCCCACTGTATGTGCTTCGCATAAAAACTGTTGCTTGTCTCGAGCTGTTTAGATTTACGTGGGAGTTTCACGTACCTCTGCTTGCCGGCCTGCCTGAAGCCGAACCCCCGAGGCGTCATACATGACCTGCAATGCGCGAAGAAACATCCGAGAATGGCAGTCAGCGAGCAATTTCGACCTGAAACGATCTAGCGTTTCGCACTAAGCTCCCGTACCAACAAAGGGGTAACAAAAAGCTTGAATGACCAGTCATGGAGACGCTCGGCACGTGAAAGTAACAGGAGATAAGGAAGTTTTCAGGAAACATACCACGACGGCGAAAACGAGGCACGCGGCGAACAACGGGCTGGCCGTGCCTTCTTGGAAGGCGACAGCGCACGCCAGACCCATGACGGACGACGAATGCGATGAGGGCATGCCGCCGGATCCTAAGATTCGCTTGAAATCCCATCGCTTCTCCCAGTGCCTGCTCACGGTTGAAATGGAGCAAAGAGCATAGCCGAGTTTGCGAAATACTGTGCCTCAATCCTATTGAGTGTACCTATTGGGTGTACGTCATAAGCAGATTTCTCGAAAGCCACGAACGAAAACGAGCTGATCCACACTTGGCTTAGGAATGTCAGCAACGAACGCGGGTTGACGCATTCGCGCCCTAATCATAAGTGAGCCAGTGTATCGAGATATATAGAACGCGACGCCGTTGGACGGCGACGTTAACCACTTGATGTAGCAGTAACGAGGAAACGAAGAAAACTTCAGTTTTAAATGATCGTCGACGCGATTGCGACGAGAGATGTTCATATGATACCCCTACCATAATGTAAAAGGCTTGAGGAATTGGGCGACCCAGAGCGAGATAAACGCGACAATCAACGGCCGGTTTTGGAAGATCATCATGAATCCTTGGTGAGAGGGGAGTAGGAGGGAGAATTTGGAAGGTCCTGCCGCGTCAGCAATAACCGCTACTTCTTCCATTCCGACCTATTGCCTCTTAAATATGAGTCTGCACCCTGATTCGATAGGGAGAACTGATCAGGCCAGCTTAGTTCTGCTGAAAGGCAAGCTCTGAATCCCCGCTCACAAACTCAAGCACACTCCACAATACCGACGAATCTCAAATCCTCGTTCTCTTCCTCAATCCTATCTGTCTGTATCCATTTGCCTGCCTATGACTGCGTGTGTCTCTCACCTGATGCCAAGACCTAGAGCTTGCCGCTTCCTACTTTCACCTCCTCCCTGCCCAGCGAATCTGCTCCTTGGGTTTCCATCCCGCCAACGGTTACTCTAACCAAATAGACCAATCGGGTTCCACTTTTTCCCAGACGAGTTTCGTGAGGGTCCGGTGAACCGCGAAATAGGCTCGCACCGTCACTAGACACAGATCTGACGGCCGCGATTCTTAGTTTTTTTTTTTTTTTTAATCCTAAAATGTCAAAATTACATTTCAACAAGCATACAGACATGCATAAACCCTTCCTAGAAGTGTCTTACTACCTCAAACATCAAAAGACCATCGCCAAAACCCGAAACAAAGTATTGCTTCCTAAGACATCTACAGCCGCATGTCGACCAAGTAGGGCACGTCCACCCATGGTGCTCCCTCTCCAAACTCCTGCTCCCCACCCCCTCGCTCCACCCACTCCGCCTCGGACTGACCCAACGTGTATGCCGCCCGCAAAAGAATCACCCGAGCCTGTGCCTTCTGCAAAGCTACCCCTACCGCGGCTGTCAAGGACCCCACCAAGTATTCCGAGAAACCCGAGCTGTTGCCCCTTCCCACACCTTTGTTAAGAGCCACCTTTACTTGAATCTCCCCCTGCTGCCGTAACCACTATCGAAAGCTTCCCCCCAAGCAACCCCAAGTCTCAAGAATCAACGGGAAGAAACGAACCCCCCTGTGCTGCCGCAGAAAAGGTTGATAATCCGTCGCCTTCCTCTTCTCTCGCTCCTTGGCAGCAAAACCTACTGTCCGCCCACACTGCCCATGCTGCTGCACCGGTAGCGAAACCGGATCCACGACGCTCACCTCGAGCGCATGTTTTTCCCCGTCCATTGGTTTCCTAACCGCCACATCCACTCTCTTCCCCGGCAGAAGCGTGTCATCCTCGGTCGTAACCACCCCACCCGATGCCTTGGCTATCTTAGCAACAACGAGCTTCACTGCATCATGAACACGAGACGGGGCGTACTGGTACTTGCACCGAAGAGCATGGTGCGGATCTGACGGGTCCTTGAACTCCACACTGCAAACACACTTGCCAGCAACCAGAAGCTGGTGGACGGGAAGGCCCAAACGGATTGCCGCCGAAATGCCCCACTCCACAGGGGTGAAAGTTGCGTCATCATGCGCTGGAACTGCGGACACCCATGCTGCCGAACCCGGGCCCTGAAGGGAAGTCAAACGGGCCAAGGTAGCATCATCGCGGGCCATGCGCCGCAGAGACTGAAGACTTTCAACCGCCAAGCGACGCTGCTGCGCTGGGAAAAGCTGGAGGGGGGGATTTGTAGTGCAGAGCCCCAAACTCGGCAATTCCTGCCTGACAACAGGCGGGAGCTGGTCAAGGGCCTTGGTAAACCAAGGGTCCAGTAAATCCCCAGCCGGCGGAGTGCGGAAGAACTCACTGAACATCTGCTCCTCGCCCGCTACTCCCAGCTTGACAACAGCACTCGCAGCGTGGCACCACCCACAGACGTAAGAGAGAGGGCTAAGAGTTGCTGCTGAACGAATGCCAAACCCGCCCAAACGAGCCGGGAGGTGCAGCTGCAGGTGAGCCATGCGCGACCTATCAGGACTGAAGTCCCAAGTGTCTGGCGGGAAAAGTTGCTCAAAGCACTCTTCCAAAGCCCCATCCCAATCTCTGAAAGCGTCAAGAACCTCAGGACGAGGGGGAACAGTGCGAGTCAAGAAGAGCGGCCGCGCAGACACGGCAACAGCCAACAAGTGGGAGGCAATCTGGGGGTGGTTCAAAATAGGAAGCCAAGGTAGAGGTGATCGCAGCTGCAAAAGTCTCCCTCAAGCGCGCCACCTCCCAATCCTCCTCTCCAATAGGTACCCCCACCACTGTTAACCCCGTCCACGACTGCTGCATTCCCAGCGGAATATCCCCAGACGCTGCCGCCTCCCCTCTTTCCCACATCCTACACTTGTGCGATTGCACCTCCAAGCCCACCCACTCCAGTCGCTCCCGCAAGACATCGTACGCCGCCAACACCCGCTCCCGCGGGCCAAGAACGTAGGTGTCATCAGCGTAGCTCAAGAAAAGAAGATCAGGGAAATCCTTCATTGTAGGCCCCATAACCAACTGCTGCGTGAAAGCAAAAAGGAAGGGACCAAATGGATCCCCCTGTCGCGAACCCCGCTCGGACGCCAGCATCTCGACAAAGGGGCCTGTGCGAAGGTACAGACCGCTGGGCACCCCATAAAAGACGCGTAAGAAAGGGATAAGGCCAGCAAAAGGAGAATCGCGGAGGCCGTCGAACATCACGTGCCGATGGAACGAGTTGAAGGCATTCGCTACATCGATCTGCAGCGCGCACCACGTCGGATGAACCGCTACAGCCGAGCGGAAAGCATGCGCCAGAATCTCCACCCCCGACTTAGTCCCCACCCCTAGTTGGTTACAAGGAGCGAAGTAGGTCTCCATGTCGGGACGAAGAAGAACGCATAACGCACGCGCCAGAATCCGAGGGAGCACCTCTCCGATAGCCACTGGGCGGACGTCCCCGTTCGGCTTGGATAACCCAACCAAGTTCGAGGCTGCAAGCCAGGGCCGCACCCGCTCAGAAACGCATCCCGAAATCCACTGCCTGAACACCTCCAACAGATGCGGGAGATAGGAAGGCTCCGAGAGAAATGTGTCTCGGAGGTGCTCTGTCATCCATCCTGAGGGGCCTGGTGCTGAGGCTCGCGCTGCGGAATGAATAGCATGCTTGAGGATGTCTTCAGTTAGGTGGGGAAGATGAGAAACGTCTATGCGAAAGTGCTCCACCCACTCAGGAACTGGCACCTCACTGGCCGGGTGCTTTGCTGTCAGCCGATCTACTGTTAGTTGAGAGGGCTGCGCCAAGTCGCCCGCAGTAAGGCATGCTAGTCCTCGACTCCATTCCCCCACTTGGCACCTCGTGCGACATCGGGCCAAACGGATGGCATCAGCATCTCGCTCAGGTAAGGAGAAGGCAAGAGGTCGCGCCGCCGGAGTCAACGCGGCAGAGGCAGCCTCGAACAGCTGTTGCCATTCCCCTGCCCAGAACTTTCCGAGACGCCCTACTATGGCTGCCCTTCGTCCAAGACCCTCCTTCGCGGGGACTCCCAAAATGAGGCGCGGGAAGGCCAGGAACATCAGCGTCGCCGCCTCATCCCCAGGGGAAGCCTTCAGTCTCTTGAGAATGCAGCACAATGCATCAAGCACCCCCAGTCGCGCCCGCTGTGGGACCCGACGAAGAAGCTCTCCCGACACAGAATGAATACTGAAAAAAGTCTCCCAGTCCCACGAAGGCACCGCCCCCCACACCTCCTCGCCGATATCCCGCGGAGGTACTGGATCTGCCCCGAAGACCTCGCTCAGGTTCGGGGAGGAAGTAAGGGCCTGAGCCCGCCGCTGAGCATCTGCCGCTTTACATGCAACTATGTGGCGGGAGGCCGCACCACCAGGCGGAAATGTGTGAAAGCAGAACTCGCAAGGGACACAAGTTGGAGCAAGTGGAGCCGTGTCAGGAGTGGCTGAATTCTCCGCAACCCCCGGTGTGGGGCTTTCCGGAGGGATCGGGGGGGGCTGCTGCTGCTGCTGCTGCTAACGCTGCTGCCGCTGCTGCTGTCGCTGCCGCACGCCCTGAAGTGCTGCCCTCGCCCCCAGCTGCCCCCCTGCGTGCTGCACGCCCTGAGGTGCTGCAGTCACCCCCTGCTGTCCCGCTGCCTGCTGCACGCCCTGGGGTGCTGCAGTCACTCCCTGCTGTCCCGCTGCCTGCTGCACGCCTTGAGGTGCTGCAATCAGTCCCTGCTGTCCCCCTGCCTGCTGCACGCCCTCAGGTGCTGCAGTCACTCCCTGCTGTCCCGCTGTTTGCTGCATGCCCTGGGGTGCTGCAGTCACTCCCTGCTGTCCCGCTGCCTGCTGCACGCCTTGAGGTGCTGCAATCACTCCCTGCTGTCCCCCTGCCTGCTGCACGCCCTCAGGTGCTGCACTCACTCCCTGTCGTCCCCCTGCCTGCTGCACGCCCTGGGGTGCTGCAGTCACTCCCTGCTGTCCCCCTGCCTGCTGCACGCCCTCAGGTGCTGCAGTCACTCCCTGTTCCCCTGACAGTGGCCGCCGTCGCACCAGCTGGCCTCCCGGACGTTGGCTCGTAAGCGGCCGCCCCAACTCGCCCTCTGCCTGCTGATCCTGCTGATTGCCCGACCGCTGCTTGCCCTGGCCTCCGCGTCGCCTCCTGCCCTTGCCTCGTGGCAGTTGGTCGTCCAAGGGCCCCTGCGCCTGAGCGCCCAGCTCACGCAGCTGCTGCCCTCTCTGATCCGTTTCCCCTATCTGCAGCTCCCCAGGAGGAACAAAAAGATCTTGTTGGTGCTCCCCACTGTGGCCCGAGAGCTGTAACACAGGCACCAAATCTGTCTCCATTTCTTGCTGCTCCACTCGAAGTGGGCTCGCTACACCCATGACTTCCCATGTATCACCCACCCAGGTGCCCAGCTGCTGCCTCTGCTGCTCTCCCGGGTGCTGCTCCTCCAGCCTCAGTTCTTGCTGCTCCCCTGGCTGCATTTCCTGCTGCTCCCCTGGCTGCATTTCCTGCTGCTCCCCTGGCTGCATTTCCTGCTGCTCCCCTGGCTGCATTTCCTGCTGCTCTCCTGGACGCAGTCAATTCTGTTTCTCATAACACACAATCCAACATGATGTTGCGCTCATCCATCAAGAAAAGAAAACTGAGGCGCTCAGGCTTCTTCTCCTCGCTGTCTTAGAGCTGCTGCGACTGCGGGAAGGAGAGCTGCTAGCGATGTTCGTTCTCAACACAAGCTTAGGCATTCTACCATTTAGATCTGGAGAAAGGACAGCCGCTAACGATGCTCGTTCTCAACACATTCAGCTCGTTTTCGTAGAGCTGCTGCGAGGGCGTAGGCATTCTGCCATTCAGATATGGCTTTTACGGGAGCATCGTTTACGGGAGGAGAAAATCGGGTGTGGAAGCCTGGAAGCAAAAATGATGTACCTACCATTACTGGTGTTGAGACCTTCGGCGATTTCTGTGATGACCGAGTGCGAGATGGCGATTTGTGAATATCAGGTAAATTTTAATGCATGTGCTTTTTCCCCTCGTATCCGAGTCTTTATTTCGTGGTGTGCTATGCTTTCGTTTTAGCACACGCAAGATTGCTCAGTGGCGCGTCTGACGTGTATCCTGGTTGCATATTGCAGGTTTGGGGAGGCGTCATGTCACTCAAAGCACCAACGCCATCTGGTTGTACGTGCGATTCCGGCGAACACGTGCGTTTTCGTGAATATTGACGGGCTCAGGTGGCTCGCGTCATTCGTCTGGCAGCTCAGGTATTAGCATTCAATTTCGCAAATCGATTTCGCGGATGAGAGCCCGTATGTCTCACTTTCGCTTTTCCGTTTCATTTGTCAATCACCGATCGATTCGTAATTGTCGCGTTCCAGTTTCCCGTCCAGATTCCGGATCAATTTCGCGAGCTACTTCGCTGACGCACATCTCAATGTCGCTTTTCCAAAAAACGATTTCACAGATCGATTTTGCTCATGGTCACGTTTCAGAATTTTCCGCGATCCGTTTCGCCCTGTGTCTTTCCACCCGCCACTGCAGGCCGCCGCAACGCCGTTCCCACCTTCCCAGACGGGTGCCACGCTGGTGCGTGCGACCTCATGCCACGCTGAACCACTCTCGCGACCTGCGATTTCGGGCCCACATGCGGCGCCCTAGGCGGCTCCCACCCTGCACAGGCAGCAGCTGCTCTCCACCCAACTTACCCACAGCTAAGCTAAGTACCTCGCCCTGCCTCTTTCCTCCCAACGCTCATACTTGTGTTGCTTTACATGTCTCGCTTGCATCATATATCAAACTCCCTCCCTCACTGCCCTTTGTCACACTCAAGAGACCTCCCTCCCCCAAGGTAGCAAGGTATCAGGTACGTGCTCAGGTATTAGGTTTAGTATGGTTCACCTGGTATGAGGTCTCTTGGGTGTGCCACTGCAGCAGTCTATTCATGCTCGCATACTTCATACTCTCACTTCACTCACTTGTCCTTGCTTCTTTCCTCACTGCCCTCCCAACTCCTCAGTTCCCGTCCTCTCCTCCCTTCTCTCTGTCCTGATCTTCCCCCTCTCGTCCCAGCAGGTCGCTCACACGGGAGTGGCAGTGGCGGGGGACATGGAGTGCACAGGCAGCAGCTGCTCTCCACCCAACCACCCGCATCTAAGCTAAGTACCTCGCCCGCCCTCTCTCCTCCCAACTCTCATACTTGTGTTGCTTTACATGTCTCGCTTGCATCATATATCAAACTCCCTCCCTCACTGCCCTTTGTCACACTCAAGAGACCTCCCTCCCCCAAGGTAACAAGGTGGCAGTTACGTGCTCAGGTATTTGGTTTAGTATGGTTCAGCTGGTATGAGGTCTCTTGGGTGTGCCACTGCAGCAGTCCCATTCATGCACACATCATTCTTGCAATTTCCTTCTTGCTTCGTTCTCACGTAATAACTCGTTTTTGCTTCTTTCTTCATTGCCCTCCTCACTCCTCCTCTGCTCCCCAATCACGCCCCTGTCCTCCGCTCGCCTGCCCTCCCCACAGCATCACTCCGCATGCAGCAGAGGGCAATTGCTATTCGTGTGCACAGAGACTGTGCCTCGTGGATTTGCAGCAGCAGAGGCGGGGAAGGCAGCAGAGGGATCACTGGAGGAGAAGGGGAGGGGAGGGAGGGATGAGGCAACAGCCTTGTTGGCGGCTCTTCATCTGCCAGTTAAGTCACTCCTCCTCATATTTGTCCCTCACCTTTGCTTGCTGCGCATTGCTCATACTCGCTTTCTCTTTGCCGCTGAAACTTCCGCCACTGGTTGGGGCCAGCCTCACAAGCCACAGACTCTCCCCCTGACTTCAGGTAAGCTCTCTGGCTCAGGTTCAGGTTTGCCTACAGGCCCCTCAGGTTCAGGTTCAGTTTATCTCCTGAGGTCCCCTTGGAGTCTGTGCCTTGTGCTCCTGCCCTCTCCAGTGGCCCTTCCCCTCTCCCGCCCTGCCTGTGTGACTCGCACTTGTCAACTCTGCTGGATGTCGAGACTGCCCACTGACCAGCTCTGCGTGTGTGCCAAACAGGTGGAGGGGAGTGGGGGGGGGTCAACACCAACGCTTCCCCTCGCCCCTCCCCTTTGGCCGTGCAGGAGGGATGGGAGGCAGGCTGCACTGCCAGTCGCTGCCACAAGGGAGAGTATCGGGGTGGGCTTGGCCTCTCAAGGTACGTCAGCCTCTCTCTTGCCCTCATCGCTCTCCCTTTCTGCTCTTCAATTTCGTCTTCTCGTTTTCATCAGCTTCAGTTTGTTTTCTTGCTAGTCATGCCAACTCACTTGCTCTTACTTCCTCCCTTTCTTCCGCCCTTACCAGGTCACTTGGCATCGAGTGAAGACTGCAGTGGTGCTTCAGCTGCCCTCTGCTCGCTCTCACACAATCAGCTAAGTGTCCCTTCCTCCATGCCCTCGCCCTTGCTGCTGCAATTTCGTTTTTCGCATCTGCTTTCGCACCCTTCCTCTTGAAGCAGTGCCACTGATTAGGTCCGCCTCACATGCCACAGACCCCCCAACTCCAGGTAACCCCTCAGGTGTAGATCAGGTGCAGGTAACCCCTTCAGGTGCAGGTAACGCCTTCAGGTGCAGGTACGCTCTCAGGTTCACCCCTTGAGGTCTGTGCTTTGTGGCTTGGCCTCCACCAGTGGCCCCTCCCTGCTCTCGCCTTGCCAAACTCTCTTCTCGCTCTTGCACTCTCACCCTTCCTCCCCTCGCTGCCCACTGACCAGCTCTGCGTGTGTGCTTGCAGGTGGAGGGGAGAGGCGGGGGTCTACACCGACGCTCCCTCACGCCCCTCCCCTGTGGCCGTGCAGGTACCCGTGGGGATGGGAGGCAGGCGGTCGCTGCCACAAGGGAGATTATCGGGGTGGGCTTGGCCTCTCAAGGTACGTCAGCCTCTCTCTTGCCCTCATCGCTCTCCCTTTCTGCTCTTCAATTCCGCCTTCTCGTTTTCATCAGCTTTAGTTTGTTTTCTTGCTAGTCACGCCAACTCACTTGCTCTTACTTCCCCCCATCCTTCCCCCCTTACCAGGTCACTTGGCATCGAGTGAAGACTGCAGTGGTGGTTCAGCTGCCCTCTGCTCGCTCTCACACAATCAGCGAAGTGTCCCTTCCTCCATGCCCTCGCCCTTGCTGCTGCCATTTCGTTTTTCGCATCTGCTTTCGCACCCTTCCTCTTGAAGCAGTGCCACTGGTTAGGTCCGCCTCACATGCCACAGACCCCCCAACTCCAGGTAACCCCTCAGGTGTAGATCAGGTGCAGGTAACCCCTTCAGGTGCAGGTAACCCCTTCAGGTGCAGGTACGCTCTCAGGTTCACCCCTTGAGGTCTGTGCTTTGTGGCTTGGCCTCCACCAGTGGCCCCTCCCTGCTCTCGCCTTGCCAAACTCTCTTCTCGCTCTTGCACTCTCACCCTTCCTCCCCTCGCTGCCCACTGACCAGCTCTGCGCGTGTGCTTGCAGGTGGAGGGGAGAGGCGGGGGTCTACACCGACGCTCCCTCACGCCCCTCCCCTGTGGCCGTGCAGGTACCCGTGGGGATGGGAGGCAGGCGGTCGCTGCCACAAGGGAGATTATCGGGGTGGGCTTGGCCTCTCAAGGTACGTCAGCCTCTCTCTTGCCCTCATCGCTCTCCCTTTCTGCTCTTCAATTCCGCCTTCTCGTTTTCATCAGCTTTAGTTTGTTTTCTTGCTAGTCACGCCAACTCACTTGCTCTTACTTCCCCCCATCCTTCCCCCCTTACCAGGTCACTTGGCATCGAGTGAAGACTGCAGTGGTGGTTCAGCTGCCCTCTGCTCGCTCTCACACAATCAGCGAAGTGTCCCTTCCTCCATGCCCTCGCCCTTGCTGCTGCCATTTCGTTTTTCGCATCTGCTTTCGCACCCTTCCTCTTGAAGCAGTGCCACTGGTTAGGTCCGCCTCACATGCCACAGACCCCCCAACTCCAGGTAACCCCTCAGGTGTAGATCAGGTGCAGGTAACCCCTTCAGGTGCAGGTAACCCCTTCAGGTGCAGGTACGCTCTCAGGTTCACCCCTTGAGGTCTGTGCTTTGTGGCTTGGCCTCCACCAGTGGCCCCTCCCTGCTCTCGCCTTGCCAAACTCTCTTCTCGCTCTTGCACTCTCACCCTTCCTCCCCTCGCTGCCCACTGACAAGCTCTGCGTGTGTGCTTGCAGGTGGAGGGGAGAGGCGGGGGTCTACACCGACGCTCCCTCACGCCCCTCCCCTGTGGCCGTGCAGGTACCCGTGAGGACGGGAGGGAGGCAGCACTGTCAGTCGCTGCCACAAGGGAGAGTATGGGGGTGGGCTTGGCCTCTCAAGGTACGTCACCTGCCCTCTTGCCCTCGTCTCTCTCTCTCTTTCTGTTCTTCAGTTTTGCCGTCTCGATTTCATCACCTTCAGTTTTGTTTTTCCTTCTCTGGTCCAGCCAACTCAATTGCTTTCACTTCCCCCCTTTCGTCTGCCTCCACCCCCCTCGCCTGTGGCCGTGCAGGTGCCTGTCTGTGGGGATGGGAGGGGGGCAGCTCTGCCAGTCGCTGCCACAAGGGAGAGTATCGGGTTGGGCTTGGCCTCTCAAGGTACGCCGCCTCCCGTTTTGCCCTTAACCCTCTCTATTTCTGCTCTGTAGTTCCGCCTTCTCTTTCTCGTCAACTTCAGTTCATTGGTTTTTCAAGTCCAGCCTATTCACTTTCTTTTACTTTCCCCCTATTCTTCTGCCCCCACTCCTGCAGGCCACTGGGCATCGAGAGAAGACTGTAGCAGAGAAGCTGAGTAGCAGACCGGCAGCAGCAGTTGTAGCAGCAGCAGCAGCAGCGGCGGCAGCAGGGGGGGGGTGGGGGGCTAGAGACGGGCTAGGTTAGGTCGAGTCGTGAGCGAGGTGTGGTATGGTATCAGGTAAGGTATGGTAACAGGTTTGGTATGGAGACCTGATCCC